CGTCTACGGCGACCGCGACTACATCTGCAACTGGCGCGGCGGCGAGGCGACGGCCAACGCGCTGGCCTGGCAGGCCCGGGCGCCCTACGGCCAGCTCTTCACAGAGGCTGGCTACGCGCCCATCATCGTCAACGACTCGTACATTGGCGGCGTCGTCCGCCAGTACGGCAACCTCTCCTTCAGCCGCGTCTACCAGGCCGGCCACGCCGTGCCCGCCTTCCAGCCCGAGACGGCATTTCAGATCTTTGCGCGCATCGTCATGGGCACGTCCCTCTCCACCGGCGATGCCGTCGACCTGGCCGCGTACGCCACAACGGGCGACGCCAAGGCCGACAAGCACAGGGACAAGCTGCCCGCAGCGCCGGCACCGACATGCTGGCTGCGCGCCGTGCCGAGCACGTGCTCCGACGACGAGGTCGAGATGCTGCGCAAGGACGAGGGCGTCATCATCAATGGCGTGCTGTACGCGAGCGAGGGCGACTGGCCGCTCGCGACGCGGACGACGACGAGCAGCGTCGAGGCGGGGGCCGCGACGTCGGCGACGCAGACGCTGACGGGCTTGTTCACGGCCACGTCGACACCCCGCAATGGGGACGTTGCGAGCCGCGACCCGAGGGGGAGTGTGATGGCCATGGTCGTTGCAGTTTCTTGTACGCTGTTCTGGATAGGGACGTTGTAATATGCCCACATGTATTGCGGGTAGAACTGGCGTTCGGGGCGGGATTGATAGGCGCTTCGGCACATACGCACGCGATTGATTTGGTTGTTCGATACCCTTAAACTCTCTGATATTCATGGGTATTTGAAAAACACGAAGGATACTATGGGAAAAGCACATGATCACAAAAAGCGTATAATTTGGCGAGAGTATTCAATGGGTATTATTACTTCGTATTGATAAAGACAAGAGTAAACTATTTATGATAATATTCCAAGTTGAAGCAACCGAATGGACCTATTTTTGAGGACAGTCAGCAACTTTTTCGAATCCGTGTAATTGAGATCGAAAATAATAGTTGAGGAAAGCCGATTTCAGTATGGGTGCCATGTCAAAGGCAGTCTCATCAATGCAACTAAGGCTATGGAGACCGTCGTGATAAAAATTGAGTCATCATGTAAGGGGCTGGGAAGGAAGGAGCAAAGAAAGAAAACACAGGCAACGAACCTGATGAATTGCCGACATACGCAAATTGCTGCATGTCAGAGTTGAGGTTTGCCAGCCTACCAGATCTTCTCGAGTCAGTCGTGTTCCCCCATGTGTGGAGCAGAAGACTGATGACTGAAGCGGTCGGGATCAGGAAAATGTAAACAGGTATCGATCAAACGCCGTGTCACGGGCTCTGACATATGCTTGTCTTGTGTTTTTGCGTTCATCACTTGAACGGGACTGGGGTGCTGAGGCAAGGCGCTGTGTGACATACCAAGTCATGAAAAAGGGCCATGTTGGCTGGAGGATCTTTAGTGCTGGTTAGCGAGGTTCTTCTCGAGCTTGAAGAAAGTTTTTTGAGAAATTGCAGTTCAGTAAGGCATGAATGGTATAAAAATAGGTTGTCCGCATCGGTAAAACCGTGTAGGACTCGTCATCTGTGTTCATCAGGAAGCGAGGAATTTGGAAAGAAAAAAAAATTGGCTTACCATTAGTGAGCAGTCACCGTGTGACGCGCATTGAAGCGCAACACGTCACAAGGGAAGCAATCTGAAGACCCTGACACTGTTCCTTGTCAGTCCAAATTCGCATTGATACGACGAAAAGTTTTGCCGGATCGACATGAAATCAGTGGGCGAGGTTTTCTAGGCCTGCCGCAAAGAGGCGTGTCGCTCATGGTCGAGCCCATTAGGTACTCTCGGAGCCCAGTGCCGCTTCATCATATTGGTGCTGGGTGGAAAGGAGCAAGCGGGATCGGTATGTACCTTGTCTAGGAATCTTCTTGAGCGAGTTAGCATCTTGCATGTGCAGAAGCATGATATCAAGCCAGCCAGAATGGTAAGAACGATCAGAAACAGCCGTTTTTTTCTTCAAGGTGTACTCAGTCGGTAATTCCAACATACGTAGTATGAAAAATGTTCATCATATTGTTCGAGGGGGTGGGGCTGGCAACAGCAAGAATGGATGGGGTTGCTAACCTTTGTAAACAGTGCTCGAGGTCGCAGGCCAAGGCACTAGCCCAACCAGCGACCGTCAAGCGAACCACACAACAGCCATAGCATATGCAGTGCAAGTAAACACCTGTGATGCGGGTTAGCGTCAGGTCTTGGCCGCGCATGCTGATTAACAGAAAATTGAGCTGCATTGTCAGACTGACGTGCAAAAACTGTAGTTTCATTCCATTTGGTCAAAGACTCTAGTTTGAATTGGGTTTGGGTAATCATCAGATAGCAGATGAGTGAGAAAGAGAAGACACGCGCCCACTCCGTGAAGCGACGCGCGAGCCGAGAAAGGCTGAGACTTACGATTGCAGGCAAGGCTGTTATCGTGGTGGTTGTTGGTGGTGGTGGAAGGATGGGAAGAAAGTGAAGGGAATTTTCTGCGCCCAACTTTTTGAGGTCTGCGATTCGAATTTGAGGTGGGGGCACTCTGGAACATCTCCGGGCCATTGGTGCACGGGCCATGAACGGAAGCAAAGAGCTTGGACCAGCTGCAGACATGTGGTCGGTGACGAGAGGGTCCCGTGACCACGCGTTTGGCTCGTTGCTGCCTGTCGTCATTATCCCAGCCCCAAGGGCGCGTCGTGACTGAGGCTCCCCTCTGACGCGGTCTCTCATGCCACTATCTCTTTCACGAGCCTCAAGATGCCCGAAATAGCTGAAGGTGCGCCGTGGCCACGAGTGTTTAATGAGGCTTGCACTGACACAGGACAGTCGCGCGGTGTGTGCATTTCCTCCGCCACCATCTTGTTGGCAGGACCATCGCCAAAGCTACGGCCCCTGAAGATGACAAAGTCTTCGGCAAGGTTGGCACCAGTGGGCCAGCCTTCGAAAAGGCCGTCCAGGGAAGAAAGGTCATGTCTGCCGGAAGTCAGGGCAAATATTTCTGGTATTCTCGCCACGGCCATAACTGCTGCCCAGCCTCTCATCTGACCTTATCAGGTTGACCTTTGACCAACCTCCGCACGCTGTGATGCACCTTGGCATGACAGGTACGTGAACACGAGCCTTTCTTGCGGGGCAGCACTTACAGTATCCAGGCTGGGTCCACATCAAGGGTGACAAGACAGCCTACACAAATTACTACAAGAAGATGAAACCAGAGGAAGCAGACCTCTGGCCGCCAAAGTACTGGAAATTCCGCCTCGAGACCGAGGGCACCCCCAAGGTCGAAGTCGCCTTTACCGACCCCCGTCGCTTCGGCCGCGTGCGCCTCGTCGACTGTCCTGGGGACGACATCCGCAAGCACACGCCCCTCGTGGAGAACGGCCCCGACCCTGTCGTCGACGCCGCCATCTTCACAGAAGAGTACATGCGCTCCAAGATGACGTCGCGGCACGTTCCCATCAAAGCCCTGCTGCTGGACCAGACGCACATCAGCGGCATCGGAAACTGGGTGGCGGACGAGGTGCTGTACCAGGCCAATGTGCATCCTGAGCAGTACTGCGACGACTTTAGCGACCGCGAGATCAAGGCCATCTACGAGAAGGTGCGGTACGTGTGTCAGACGGCCGTGGACAAGCTCGGTGATTCGGATGAGTTCCCCGAAGACTGGCTGTTCAAGTATCGATGGGGCAAGGGCGGCAAGGACGCCGTGAGCAAGCTTCCAAATGGCGAGAAGCTGGCTTTCATCACGGTCGGCGGGCGCACGAGCTGCTACGCGCCGAGCAGGCAGAAGAAGACGGGTCGCGTGGTGCCTTCGGCCAAGGAAGAGCCGATAGACGCAAAGCTTACAGCCAAGACGACGACAGCCAAACTCAAGGGCAGGAAGACCGTCCAAGAAGTCGAGTCAAGCGACGAGGATGAAAAACCTCCAGCGAAGAAGCAGCGCGTGGCAAGAGCGGCTTCCAAGGTCAAGGTCGAAGATGATGACGGTGCTACGGAGACATCACCCCTGAAGAAGCTGAAGAAGACAGCCAAGCCGAGCAAGGCTGCTCTAGCATCGTCAAAGCCAAGGGTGAAACAAGAGACCACGCGGGTCGAGGCATCAACGAATGAAGATGATCTGGGACGAAGGAGATCAGGGCGTATACGGAAACAATCTTGATTTGAACTACGATGCAGCGCCAGTCGTTACAACTTAGTTACGCATCATGTAGCAGTTTATGCACCTTGTCACTTTGGATTTGCATTGCCCTGAATGTGCTGTCAAAATACCAAGCTAGGGCTCCGACTCAACCTCGGGCGGGAACGTGCCAAAGAGTGCCATCAAATGCTCCGTCTCCGCCGGTGTGAGCTTTGCCTTGTCCGTCGTGATCTTGCCCAACATTCGGAAATCTGCGGTGTCAGTATTTATCCTCTCGAGCTACTTGACGACTCACAGTCAATATAGTACCCTATTCACATCAGACACACAAGCCTATTCATCTCCACAGAGGAGAAATCTCACCGGGAGTGGCAGTCATGTAGAACTCGGCCCCCTCCGTCACCGAAGGGTTCGAGAACGTGTGCACCGCCCGCGGCGGCACGACCATGAGTTCGCCGGCCTGAAGGTCAGTGTCCCCCTCTGGCGTGGAGAAACGCACCGTGCCTACGTCATTAGCCACCGCTTCGAGCACCGTTTGCCCTGAGACGACCTAGAAATGGCAATCGCACTTTTCAAAGTCATGCACGCACGTACTCACCTTTGACGATGAAGAAGAGCTCATCGTGGAACCGATGCCAGTGCATCGGCGGCCCCTTGACCCCGGGCGGGATCTCGAGAGTCGCGCACCCGACGCGCGTGTCTGTGTGTGACCCGTCCTCGTAGATGTAGCCCGTCATGAGTCCGATCTGAACAATCTCGGCCGTGGATTTCTTGTATGCCGTTACGGAAACCGGGCCGCGCAGAGGCATCTTGGTAATCGCAGGTCCTCAGACGCGGACCCCCTGAAATAGAGTGTTTGTGGGGTGGATCAAAGATAGGGTAGCAGATGAGAGGCGCAACACGAATACATGAGGTACAATTGAGAGGATCAATGATGGGGTAGGCTGCCTGTGTGACAGAGGTTGAAACCAAGACTATGGCTCAGATGTGCGGGACCTGGCTGCCTCTTGTGCTTGGCCTTTGTAGTACGAAACCCTCTGACATCAGAGCCGGATCTCCATTGGGGATTGCCGCCTTTCACCTTGCTATCCCAGTCCCCAAAAGAAACACTGCCAAGTCAACAAATTTCTAGGTGGCTGGCCGATGTCATTTACGTGGACCTACTAAGAGAGTGATGATGGTCCGGAAGATTGCAACTCCAAATGATCGTTACTCCTGCCACCAAGCACACACTGTCTGTGTTCGTTTGGCTTAGGCGGGTGAGATTCAATTAGCGGTAAATGAAGTACCAGGCAGTACTGTTACTTTCTTATGAGTGTCAGGCCAAGCATCAGGCTTCATGTACACTCGCATGTCGGGATCATCGAAGTTCAGATTTCGTGTCCGATAATTCAATAGTCAATAGAAATGTCAGCCCTATGGCTGTTGCTCCAGACACCTATCCAGAACCGTGTCAAGTTTCATCCACTATGAACAGGAAACGCTGCCTCCAATGAGGACTATGGGTATCTTCTTCTACACCTAATAGTGACCAATGCAAGACCCAAAGAATAAATCACTACGCCGAAATAATGCTTGTTGACCCATCGCTGGCCAGGCTTGTAGGTCTGATAACGATGGGAGGGAAAGTACACGTGTGTGAAGTGAAAAAGAAAAACGCCTGGCTTGTGTTTTTGGGTATCGCTGATGCCTAAAAGCAGATAACTTTCTCGAAAATCATGTCCGATGCTGACTTATATGTTCATCAAAAGTGGTTAGTGGAGGGCGAAATTGGTTCGTTGTCGTCATGATAGAAGGTGTTGCCCTTGGAAATCGTATCGTTTTCGGAAGGATGGATGTTTCGAATGCCAGAGATGAACGCCTGTTCACTCGTCGCGCGAAACTTGAAAGCCAACGCTGTAGCGATAGTCTTCGCTGTCCCAGGTGACAGGGATCATCGTCAAGATGTTCATGAACGGCGAGCCGTCCTTGCGGAAGTTTTGGACCTCGAGTTGGACCTCGTCGTTCTTCTCCACAGCCTTGCGCATCTGCTTGACCATCCTGTCGTCGACATACTTGCGAGGAGAAGATCGGCTGACCTTTCCGCCGGGTGCTTGCAGGAAACGACAGTTGCGTCCGAGGATCTCGGCATTGGAGTACCCGGTAAGGAAGGTAAAGGCTTCTGATGCGTAGACGATAGGACAATCAGGCTGGGCGAGATCGCAGAGGACGAGGGCGACTGAGCAATCGATAGGGCCGAGTTCGACCTTGGGTGAGGACCGACCCATGACACGGAACTGCGAGGTTTGTCAGCCAAATGGACGACTGGAGTAAACAGCGCCAGGACATACAAGGATGCTCATCATGTCAAATCCGCTGGGACAGTAGAGACCGGGATACATGACGGGGTCTGCGTTTTCGGGACGCTGACGCTGCGTGAGGGTAGGATGTTGGTCATCATTGCCGGCTGGCTCGGGGAAATGGTACTTTCGGCTTGTTAGTCGCTGCCATTCAAGACGGCAAAGCTCGCCGAGAGAGAGACTAACCTGTAGGGCGCAGGTTTCCCAGGGGTTCATATTGGCGAATCGATCAGGGCGTGCTTTCGGCCTCTGGGCGGACCGCTTCGAGATGGCGTGTGTGTGGCTGCGGGGAATGACTGGAAGTTGCGTTTTGACCGAGGCAGACATGTTGGGAAGCTCGTGAATTATCAAGCGCGAAGTTGATATGATATACGCTTCGTCGCAGGTGTAGGCTCCCGTTCAGGCCAGGCGAGGGCGACAAGGGTGCTGTGTCTGATATGCAGGTGACGAAAGGGGTGCGGGCAGGCGTAAGTCGTTGGGTGCACAGAGCCGGGGTTGTCGGGAGGGGCGGCGCGGTTCGACGGTCCTGATGGACGTCGCCTTGGCCTGCTTGTGCGCTTTATCACTTCACTGACACAGGTGACCGTAGCGCATTTGCAGGTTGGGTGGGCGTTGCTGAACAGGCGTGCGCGTCGTTCTTGGTCAGCGTGTTGATCGGGAAGCGAATCTGCCGAGCGAGCGAGCGAGCGAGACGGACTGATGAGGAGTCTCTGAAGGAGCGGGTAAAGATCTGGCGGGATGGGAGGTGGGAGCACGGGATTGATAGTTGGGTGGCTCGATGGACAGAAAACTGATGAGACAATGCGATCTGACGCTGACATGGACGTAATGACAGGCCGGGATATTAATGAGGGGCCCAGCAGACAATTGATGCTGGCTGGCCCCAGCCGAGGGATACTTAGTAAAAGGCGATGACACGGCATTTCGTTGGCCTGATCGCGGGAACCAAGAGGTAGGGGTCGCGATCGGGACTTGATCGAAGGCGGTAGACGCCAACACAAAAAGTGGGCTAGGGCCCTGAGGCTAACGAGGGTCCGGCTGGGACTGAGCCGGTGGTCTGCCAGCGGACGGGCTCTCGTTTGCATCGGCGTGTTGGAGTGCGATCAAAGGCCTATCTATGCAAGGCCTCTGGGTCTCACTGCCTCTCTACACGGTCAGTGTAAGCAATCGCAGCGTAAGCTGTCTGCTCCAGGCTGCTCCAGGCAGAGATCTCATCATTGGGGACGTAGTCACGGCATGGTCGTACACCTTGGTGGCAACAAGACTGTCAGGGCCGCCATCGTCGTCGAACAGAAACGGCGCCAAGAGGGCCCTAGGGGTGGGGATCTTTTCTCGGAGCAAGCAAGGCGTTGGTCGGTGCGAGGGATCAGAACCGCTGGGGGTCAACCACGAACAGCAGTACATGGGGAATCGGGATTCGTCAGTCGCGATCTATGAGTCGAATGGTGGGGTTGGCAGATGTCGCAGTTTGAAGGGGGTCTCAGACCATAAATTTCCCCATTTCGCCCAAGTCGTGCCGAACATCGAAAGCCGTATCACGATGATGATGGAGCTTCGGCCGATGGTAGACAGACCCCTCCGATGGGCGACGAAGGTTGGTGCGAGAAATGCCTGCATCGATCTTGAGATGTGGTCTAGCCATCGGCATCGGAGGGGGACGTGCCTGTCGACGCTTGTCCGAATGGGGGAGGTGCGGGGCGACATCGAGCGGGAGAAGGCCAATCGGCATCTGACCACTGGTGGCGCTGCCGTCACCCCGACCTGTCAGCCACCTTGTCTTGCTTGTCTCTGTCATTCATCCCTGCCACCATTTCCCATTCTGTCCAGACATCGAGATGCTGCATCTTTCCTATCGTATTCTTGCGCTTGCTGCATCCATTCATGCGTCAGGGGGGGTGGTCCGAAAAGGTGAGACGAGGCGCTCAGGAGGGGGGAGCTCTGTCTCTGTCTCTGCCACTGCACAGTCGTAGGATCGGTTGGCGAACCGAGCGGCTGAGCTTCCAGCTCCCCGATCTGAAATCTTTTTGCTCGGGGCGATCGCTTGCTCCAATGCTGATCGACATGGTTCGCGCCTCGTCATATCGGGAGTCGCCTTGTTTCGTTTCCCTTACCAACTGCTGGCCTATTGTCAAGACGCCAAGTAGCGAATTGACAAGGGCCCCTACAGGCTCGTTAAGTTCTCGACTCCTCAAATCTATCAGCTCATTCTGACGACACGGCACATGGCGTGGCATCGAGAGGCGGCCAAAGACAACCATTGGCTGGTGCTGATGTTCAGAGGACGAAGGGAAAGACATGAGACTTCTGGGCGTGGATCACGATGCGACTGAAGTCAGCTTGCTGTTCCGCCTTATCCATGAAGATGCTGGATGTTCATCACTGGATGTTCATCACTGGATGTTCATCACTGGATGTTCATCACTGGATGTTCATCGCTGGATATTCATTGCTAGATTCTCATCAAGATGCTGGATGTGCAGAGGAGCGTCATTGCAGGCCTGTGCTGTAGCATCAATTCTTCAGCCACTGGATGTACTTAGCTAGACACCACCAAGAAGCGGTTGCAGGGCAACTGAAAAGAGCCTCTCGAATACCAACAAGGGAAGGTTTTGATCTCGATGTAGGCGTTGTTTCCCAAATCATGCTTCTCCTAAACGGTGCTTTGTTCAGTTGCCAAAAGTATCGCCAGAAAGAGACACCCTCCCCGGCAGCCTGCCTCACATGAAGCAGCCCCGCACGATGATCCCCCACCACACCGATTGACCGAGACGCGTCTCTACCGCGTTTCCTCTTGACTGGCCTTTCCCAACACCACCGTCACCGTCACCACGCCACCCATCACGATCCTGCGAACAACAGACACATTGCGGCACATCTTGAACCTGCCATTTATCGCAACGCTATGTCTGCCACACGCCGCGCCAGGCCTAGGGCACCCTCCGAAGACCCAAACGACCTGCCGCCCTACGAACCCCTCGAACTCACTCTCTCCGACAACGTAGCCCGCTCCCTCAACGCTCTTGCCACTGGACGTGACTCCCGCCGATATGAAGAACACATCCGCAAAGCCACGACCCTGCTGGGCCGCAATGTCGCCGCCGCAAACGACCGCCTCGCCGAGCGCCAGGGCGACCTGCAAACGACCCTCGCCAAGCGGGCCGCCCGCGGCGCAGAAAAGACGCCCGCCGATCTCCATCTCGAGGCCTGGATCGCCGAGTTCCAAGCCGAGGTTGCCGCGCTGACGACCGAGTCGGAAGCCGCCGTGCGCGACCTCGTCGACCGCAAGGCCGCGGCCCAAGACGAAAAGGACGCCATCGCCGCGACGGCCGACCACATCCAGTCCTTCCCGACGCGCGCCCAGCGCCTCCGCGACCGCCGCGGCGGCGCCCGCTGCCGACACCTCCACCCAGGACGCCCACTTTGACGGTGACGAACGAACGGCGCCGAGCCCGACCTGCCCGCCGCCCCGCGGACCCCCATCCACGACATCCTACAGGGCGTGCGCGCGGAACAAAGGCGCAGGCCTACGCCGCGCTGCCCGCCGTACGAGCGCTACCCCTTCAACAACGACTACGCCGCCTTCAAAAGGTTCTGGCACGACGCCCACGGCTCGGCGACCAGAACGTGCCGGCTGCCGGATCCCGGCGCGCTGGTTTCGACCGCGACGCCAAACCCCGTCGCCCTCGGCCCCGGGGCGGTGCGGGGGCGCGGCCGCCGACGGCAACGACGGCGACGGCGGACGGAGAAAGACGAAAGATCTCATCATCGAAAGGCGAGATCCACAGCTTCATCTGCCCCGCTGTCGCTTGCAGCCCGCTGACGCAGCCGGTTCAGCAAACAACAAGTGGCAGCCACACGTTCCAGAAGGAGAGCATCCAGGCGTGGTTTGCCGAGTCGCGGAACCAGGAGAGGACGTGTCCCACGACGGGCTGCAATGTGGTACGTGTTCTTTTCCCTTTTGCTGCGTTTCGCGGCGTCCTCCCTTCGTTTTTTCGGTTGCTCTCGCCTGTTCTGCTCGCTGTCTGATGCCTTCTGTACACCTGCTGGCTACGCCTTATACCTCCTTGCTACTACAACCTGCGAGCATCGCCTGTCCTTCTCTGGAGGCTTTTCCCCAGCCAGCAGTCCGCTAACGTGGGCTCTACAGCAACTCAAACTCAGGGACTTTTACGGCGACGATCTCATCCTTCGGAAAATCCTGCGCCAGAAGAAGAGGCTGGCAGCAGAGGCTGCTGCCGCTGAGGAGATAGACGACGAGAGTGATGAAGACGAAAGCGCCGCGGCGGCGGTCGCAAGCCGTCAAAAGGGAAAGGCGGGGCAGCGACGACGAAATAGAGGATGATTCTTGAGGGCAGCATGCCAGGATCACGAGAAGCGGATACGAACAGTACATGAAACGACGTAGATTGATACCCAAAAGACGATTATTTGTAAACCTATTCTTCGGCATACAGCGTGACAGTCGCAGTGCGGATCTCATAAGGCTTCATTTAGCTGATCTGCTCAAAAAAATCTATAAACTCCATGCTGCGTTGCGCTTGTTCCTTTGCTCGTGACTACGTGTCCTGCCCGTTTCACGACGCGTATTGCATGTTCAAACCACCGCCGCCAAAGCCACGCCCGCCCCGATGATCGAGCTCTCCTTTGCCGGGACGAGATCGATGCTCAGGCCTGACTTGCCACTAGCTTCCAGAAGCTCGTTTACAAAAGACTGGCACATGTCACGGTATCCCGGGTAGCTCTCGAGCACACTCCCGTTGAAGGCCACCATCGTGTGCTTGAGGGCGAGCTCTGTGTCCGCCGTGGCAGCTTCCGAGGGCGACAACGTGGGCAGCGTCTCGCGGACGCCGTCGAGACGGAGATCCCAAATGCCGTGTACTGCTGCAGCAAGAATGGCAGCAGAACGACGGGAAATGAGGGCGGAGATATCGCGGAAGAAGGCGAGATCAGTTGCGGTTGGTGCGTGTGATGAAGGATGGCGCTGTGCAAAGGCCGCAGTAGCTGTCTCTAGCGTAGCGTTGTCACTGTGATTGTCAGTATTGTAGATTGATGCCAATAGAGCCAACCAGCTCACCTCTCAGTCATGGACATTGTCTCGGTGCTCAAGGAGTAGGGCTCGGTAAGGTTTTCCGGAACCACGCCGCCGAATACACCAGTTGTCGCGATGGCCTCGATAAGCACGAATCGAGCAACTTCGCCCAGGTACATGCCGCTGAGCATGTGCTCCAGCGGTTGAAAGTTGGGACGAGGATGTCCTGCTTTGAGGTCGGCATCCCAGCGTGTGATTGATAGGATGTCATGTCCAAACATGCCCAGCTCTGTGTTGACAATGACACTCTGCGCCTCCTCAAACCACTCCTGGGGTCGTTCGCCAAATTTGGCAGCGCCGATGAGGGGCACAGGAAGATGGGCAGCAATGTTAACGCCGGTGCCGAGAATGAGCCCGAATCTCGTAGCCGGGTGAGTGTAGGCTCGAGAAAGCAATGTAGCATTTCCGTCGTTCAAAATGACGAGAAGCTCTGCCACAAGACCAGAGCGACGACAGGCTGCTTCAATCACGGTACCGAGATCCTGTCCCTGGAGACCATCGGCGGCGCGGAATCCCTTGCCCATACCATGGATGCGACCACTGCGGAGGGACGTTTGTCTACAATTTGTCAGTGGCCAGCCCATAGGCTTTCAGGAGGAGAACGAAACATACTCAATAGGGAAACTCCAGGACAATGCCATGGGTAACGCGCCGTCTTTCTCGGCTCGGCGGCCCTCTTCCTCGTTCTCCAGTGTTTCGACAATCCTATCAGCCATCCAGTCGAAAAAGGCCAGACCTTCGAGATCCTTGATGGTCTTGTCGATGCGGAACGATTTCATGCTGACAATCTCAGTCTCCTTGCCCTTGATCTCGTAGTCATGGCCACGCAGCTCCACCAGAGCAACTCGCAATGTAGAGCCGCCAACATCGAGCGCGAGGTATCTTCCCCTCTCCAAGCCGGTCGGAAGCTTGTGGTTGAACGAAGGCAGCATGCATGCCGGATCGGTCTGTAGTCTAGTCCGAAACTGTGTCTTCAGGGCGTGAGAGAGCTCGAGTAGGCCATCGTCTAACAAGGGCCCAAGGATCAGATCCTCAACCTCTCTGAGGAAGTCTTGTGTGGACCGTCGGAGGCCAGGGGCATAAGGCGCCGAAACCTTGCCGCCCTCGTAGATTGATTGGGACGAGGATGAGGAGGAAGTTGAGGACTGCTTGGCGCTGGAGGGGGGGTGTGATGATGTGGTCCAGAAGGTGAGGAGGGACTGTATCAAAGACTTGCCGCGCAGAAGCTGCTTGACAATGGCGGCAAGGAAGGATCGGTGGATGGTTGTCATTGCAGAAACGAGCGGCTGCATGACAAGGGGCAACCGTGCTCTGGTGAGGAAGAGGTTCGATGTAGGGTCAGGTGGGACATGTAAGTGACGAGAGAATGCAGGGTAAATAGGCCAAATAGAGCTCAAGCCATGTCCCCTGTGTTTTGGTGTGACCTTCGTGACGGAGCGAATATGACATTCGATTCGACCCAGGATGGTACCAGCTGGGTGACAATGGCGCCTCGCGCGTCGCAGGGCGACGGGTAGGTGGGACACGGGCTGAGGATCGACAGGGCCGCTGGCGCCAGATGGTATCGCGACGTTTAGGTCGGGTTTCCTCTACCCTTCGACCAACAGCTGTGCGGTGTATGAAACCTGCCGACTGTGGAGGGGCCAGGAGAGTTGAACCGCGTGGTCGCTGTCACTCGCAGCTGTCGAGGTAGCTTCTCGGCAGCAGGGCGAAGGAGGCTCGATGGAGAGACGACGAAAAGGGTAGGGCGGCACAACACCGACAGGTGGATGGACCAATGGGCCGGTGGACTGGAGCCAAAGCGAGTAACAAGTAGCAAGACGACGGCAAGACAGGGCAAGACACGAAGATGAAAGTGGAACACTGGGAAAGGGAGGAAACGGGTCCCTCGAGTTGAGTTGAGTCGAGTCGAGTCGAAGCTTCCCTGCGTCCGTTCCATCAATCCGTCCGTTCACAACGTCGCACAGGCGATGGGGCGACAGATGGTAAGATGGTAGACTGGTGATCCACTTGGGTCCTCTCACACTCTGGAGGGGAGGGGACGCGATGCGGGTGCCGTTGTGGTGCTTGCAATGCCATGTAAGGCAGTATGCCGAGAGCGCAATAGCAGGGATGGTCCGTCGTTCTCTCGCATCACTGTGTATTCTCGGGCGGCCCACGACCTGGAACTCGAGCGTTCTGGGTGGCGCGCATGCCGGAGCCGGAGAAAAGGGCACAGGTTTGGTGGGATCGTCGGCTTCTGGCGAGGCTTGGTGGGAACTGGAGAAGCTGAGGATGGCGTTGCGAGGTGGAAACAGACGTCGTTGGTCGCCGGTTCTTATGGGTTGTAACGTTGCTTGTGCCCTCAGTGGGCTCCTGCCTGTAAATGTTAGCCTTGACCGATAAGCCTGGTGCGTCGGATAATCGCCGGGCCCCACCCAGATCTGACTCCAAGCCTCCAAGATCGACGGTGCAATGTTCCCTCTCTCGACTCCGTGCCTCATCACCCAACCCACATGGCCACGACCAGAGGCTGCAAACGCCATCCTTGTTCATCCGGGCGCTCGTTGCATCTGAGGCGTTCGTCGAGGCAGGCATCAAACCAAGGGTCCAGGCCCGCTCTATTGTTTGTACCACACATGCTTCGACTGCAATCCTGACATTGTGCAGCCAACCTGCATCAGCATACGCTCCGAAGAACCTTGACCTGTGGGAAGTTACGCTATGCATGCATCGGCCCATCACGAAGATTGATTGGCCAGCGGACAACAAAAACATCAAGACTTCGGCATCTTCGCGATCGTGAAGGTTGATGGTAGTCGAGGCTCGCCTGGTCATCAAACCACAGCACACACCACCAGCTGAGGCGCTCCATATCAGTCGTCGTGGAGGCATGTACCCTTCAGCATGCGAGAGCATTCACCAAATGCTAGTGACCCGTCTCCGCCGAGTCGTTGAACGTCAGCCAACGGCCTAGCAACATGGGGATCACACCATCCCCGGACTGGCTGCCCCCGCCTACAAAGCGTTCCGGCCTGGTGGAACTCGGGCAGGGCAGCGTCATTGTACAGTCCAGCACCCATGCCGTGACCCTTCCTCATGTATACCGTCGTGACGTTCCATACCCCCACAGCGGCGACCTCCATGCTCGACTCGTGGATGACAGGCTCCCAAGACTGTAGCCATGACGGTGCCACGAGACGATCGATTACGCAGTATCCATGCTTCCACGCAGCCAGCCCAGAGGCCGTCTGCTCCGATTTGCCTCCCGGGCAGCTTGTCTCTCTCCCTAATAAGGCGAAGCCTCTCACGGTTGAGCTTTACTTTTTATGCTGTCCCTCCTAAGCAACACAATTCCCAAGACGATCCTCCTCAAGAGACCTCTTGCTTCCTTTCTTCCCCAAACATCCTTACCCCCACGCTAGACCCCTTTCATAAACTTCGTCATGAGGCTCATCATCAGGGACGATGCCGACTCGGCAGCCGCCTACGTCGCCAACTACATCGTCAACCGCATCAGGGAGTTTGGTCCCTGTACCGAGAGGCCCTTCGTCATGGGTCTCCCTACCGGGAGTACCCCCATGGGCGTGTACAAGCTCCTTGTTGAGAAGTACAAGGCTGGCGAGGTATGTGTTCCTAGACGACATTCGTGATATGCACGGCTAATGGTAATCCAGGTCTCTTTCGAACATGTTGTCACATTTAACATGGTGAGTAGTATGCCTCACTTCATGCGTCCTGCTCGTCTCATATATCGCACACAAAATCCAGATGATGCCCAAGAACATCAACTAACTTGCTTAGGATGAATATGTCGGCATCCCTCGCGACCACCCTCAAAGCTACCACACTTTCATGTGGCGCAACCTCTTCTCTCACATCGACATTCTCCCCTCCAACGTCCACATCCTCAACGGCAACGCCCCCTCTCTCGAGGCTGAATGTACCGCCTACGAAGCCGCCATCAGCGCGGTTGGCGGCATAGACCTTTTCCTCGCCGGCATCGGCGCCGACGGCCACATCGCCTTCAACGAGCCAGGCTCCTCGTTGGCCTCGCGCACACGCGTCAAGACCCTAGCCTATGACACGGTCCTCGACAACGCGCGCTTCTTCGGCGACGACCTCGCCGCCGTGCCCCGTTGCGCCCTGACCGTCGGTGTGCGCACCGTCCTCGACGCCGCCGAGGTCGTTGCCGTCGCGCTCGGCGCCCGCAAGGCGCCCGCCCTGCAGCGCTGCATCGAAGCCGGCGTCAACCACATGTGGACCCTGTCGGCGCTGCAGATGCACCCGCACGCCATGGTCGTCTGCGACGAGGACGCGACGCTTGAGCTCGCCGTCAAGACAGTCCGCTACTTCAAGTCGATCGAAAAGGTCGCCCGCGAGCGCGGCTACGAGCAGGTCCTGCCCGCCGAGCTGCGCGTCCACCCGGCCTCGCCCACCTCGCCCGCCAGCAGCGGCAGGGACTCGGCCGTCGTCGTCGACGCTGTTCAAAGCCCCACCGTGCTGCGCCCGCAGCCCGTCACGCCGGCCCTGCTGAGGGCCAACAGCCCCGCGCTCGACCCCAACGTCCGCGCCGTGTCGCCCGATCTCGACCTCGTGCCGGATCGCATGGCGTCGAGGATCCCGGAGCCGGCTCTGACGAGGCGTCTGACGCCGAACCCGGAGCAGCAGATGCCCGGTCTGCGGATGAATGCCGTCGGAGCGTGAGGTTGCCGCCTGGAAGCGGAGAAAACGAACATTTGATTGCTTGGAATTGGAACGATTGCTTCCCACTCGTTTTGCGGAGTTTGATAGAGACCAGAATGATATCCAATGTATGATGTATTTGCAAATTAAAGAAGGCCAGTCAAGGACCTGCCCCATAATTCATGAATACACGACTTTATATTTGCCTTGTCTGCAACGCCGAATTAGAAGACAGTGGCACATGTATCCCATCTCACCTGACTGTGAGAATGCGAGATCAGGGAGATCGATGCCTCCTCTCCCTGGGTGGCGCGTGAAGCGAGGATCCCGCCCTGCGTGGCTTGGATTGCAGCCCAGAGAATTGGCAGCTAGTCTATGCGACAGTTCAATAGTAGGCGTTTGAAATCAATAGTCATGGGTATTCAACTGTCTGCATCCGTCTCAGCTTCAGGCCTCTTTCCTGTCCCACTCCTCTCATCAACCCTAGCGCATGGCTGTGGCCAGGAGCAGCTTATATGGTACATAGATGATAATGCGAGCACGGCGCGCCGGATATCTCAACCTCAGATTCCCCACAAAAAATACATCGTGACACCCTTCCATACAAAGATGTGCCCTGTTCTTCAAGACTCAGCCGTGAAGTATCTCTTCATCTTGCTCCGCATCTGCTGAGCCTTGAGCTCAGCAGGCACAATGGTGTGGTGTACAATGTGGGGCCGATACACGGCTTCAACTGGAGGCATCCTGTTCAGGGACGTCAGCTGAAGGATCTGCAAATCACAGAGTGTGGAACATACCAGTCGTCCACACTGAGGGGAAAGTATTCATAAAGCATATCCTCGTCATCCTTGGGGCTCTGACTGGCTGTCGGTCTCGTGGCAGCGGCCGTCTTTGAAAACCGTGGACTCTGCAGCTCCGCACTTGACCTGTTCGGACTCCTTTCGTCTTCGGATAGAGAAAGATTGATTGGGCCGGACACTCCCTGCCGTGCATTGCTACTAGCTAGCAATCCGTGCCCCATAGACCTGCTGGGCTCGTTGGACCAGGACGGTATTGGTGGCCGTGAGATGCCTGGAGACATGGCTAGCCTCTTTGCCGAGTGCTGTGTGTTTTGCTCTTTCAACGGTTGTGGTGTCGGCCAGTCGCCGGTGTACTATCAAAGGTCAGATGACGACAAGAGAATATCGTGCTTATTACCATACCTGAACACTGGACCCAGATGACGACAATCTCTGCAGCGGTGGCGGCTGCCCCCCGTTGCTGTCTCTATGCTGCATGGAAGCATCTGAATTGCTCCGTGCGCCAGACTTCTTCTCTCCCGTCAGGGGTATGTCCTTTTTGCTGTCAAAATTTCTCGGGCTCCTCCCCCTGACGATGACGGGGCTGGACGCGATCTCCGCAACCTTGACCCAATCACCCGACTGTGGTCTTGCGAGGAGGTTAATCTGCACAACATAATGTTGCTGCAAGCCTTTCCGTCTTCCGTTGTTGGCCGTCGCGTGCTTAAACTGAAGTCTCTTCCAGGACATGTTCAGCGTAACACGATTCGCGTCGACTTCCTGCCCGGTACTGAGATCGAGCGGGCAATTTGGCGGCGCACTCGTTGCCTTCATTTCCTCGCCCGGCATAGGGTTGGTGCTCTTCCAGGGTATCGATATGATCTCGGTCCCTTTACTCTCAATGGACTCCACGGCACCGATGGAAGCCGACAATTCGAATACGGGCATGTGGTTTCCGTGCTCGTCAATGACATGTGTGATGTGTCGTGGGAGCGTAATCTCCCCAAGACACTGCCATAGGTTTCGTCGGTAGCAGGTCAGCTCAAGGGGTCTCCCAGCTGTGTCCCCGCCGAACACGTCCTCGGCGACGAAGAACATGCCACGCAGCTCAGCCGTC